GTAATAAAGGAATTTTATCAAGTGTATTCGCTGATATGAAATATTTCACCGATTAGTTTCTTAGAAACTCACTCTAAAATCTTTCAACTGAACTCAGCAGTCTGCTAACAATGTTATAATCTGAACGCCTGAGTCTTAACAGCTCCAAAGTGAACATGATAATGTGTAACACACAGCACTGCCACGGATGAAGACAACCTAATTCACAGGCTCATGCACACCCAACCACAGACACAAAACAGTAGTTACGCCTGCAAAACACAAAATTACACAGCCAGCTATGGCTTCCTTCTTGCCATCAAAAGATGCATTCCTCTGCCATGCCCACTCACACATACTCCAATATGAAGAGACACAGTTACCCACGGATAAAAAGACAACTCACATTACAAGCTGAAAAGCTGGTGTGTTTCTTACAAACTGGATAAAACTGCTTGTTGTTGTTTCTCTCTCTCTCTCTCTCTCTCTCTCTCTCTCTCTCTCTCTCTCTCTCTCTCAGGCACAGTAAGATAATAAGTACTGGGCAGGACCCTTAATGCACCATCAGAGAAAACCCAAAAGAAAAAAAAAACTAATTAAAAGGTTCACTTTCTATCTAAGAATAGTCTTTATCTTTATTCCTAAATGACTTATAAATGTCCTCCACTTCAGAATGTGTATGATTATTTTAAAGTTTTGTTATAAAATAAATGGAAACAAAGTCAAGTTACTATTTAGTGAAGACAAAAAATTAACTTCCAACCACTTCATTGCCAGGTGCCTAACAGGTCTCGATACATCTGTTGACCCATCATTTTGAGAAAGGGAAGAAAAGCATATCAAAATTCCATCCTAACTGTGAGAGATGATGATGGATAGGACAAGTTAGAGTAAGCAAAACAGATACAATATAAACTTTTAGAACTTCCTCCTACCTCCAATATGGGGTTAAGCTGAGGCTCCAGGGACAAGCAGCCCCTGGGTTTCCCTTTCTGAGAGAACAGGGTGGGGTAGGGGTGAGAGAACTGGAGCTAGAAGACAGGCAACAGTTACCACCTTCTTCACAAAGGAAAGGATAGAAAGCGGGAGGAATGCTGTAACACAGACCCACAAAATCGGAACTGCTTTACCAACGTCAGACATTCTGCTTTGCATTCTATCTAGGGAAGGCATGTGCTCTCAGGGATGTATCTTTGCCCTCTAGGATACTTTAAAACTCAAAGAACAAGACTCCCTTTCTAATTCCCTCAATGAGAATAGAGAGGAGAAAGCGTTTAATAGCATTCCAGATAATTTGTGCCAATTTAGATGATTCATGTATTACTTTCCCAGACTAAATGGTCTATGGCCAGCACTTTCAAGTCAACAAGGGTTTGGAGAGCAGGACCTAATTACAGATCTGAGTCACTGTCTACACGTCCCCTCAGCCCAGTGGGCCATCCCCCACAAAGGCACCATTTCATTTTGAGGTATAAAAACAAGCCAAGTCTACAAATCTCTTATGTAGAAAATAAGTAAGAAGATGTCATTCCACAAGAAACAAAAAATTGATTTTTTTTAATTTTTTTTTTTTTTTTTTTTTACAGAGGGAGGGAGGGAGGAACAACAACTTGTTCCACTTCTTTATGCATTCATTAGCTGCTTCTTGTATGTTCCCCACCTGGAGATCAAACCCGAAACCTTGGCACATAGGGATGGACAATAATCTAATCAACTGAGCTACAGGTCAGGGCCCTGAATTAATTTTTTTTAAATAAAATTTTCAATAGGCTTTTTCCCTTTAAAAGTACTCATAACATTAAAGTTTTTAAAACAAGAAAACGGATATAAGACATATTATAGGATATTTTACATTTCTTGTGTCTGTGTTTGGCCTGATGTACAAAATGACATACTATCTTGAAAACTGACCATATCCCAAGGGGAGAGACTTAGTAGCTCTTTTCATAGGGGCCTCATTGATTAGGTGTTTCAACTTGATGGCTATAATCTTCTAACAGTGGCACCATTTTAATTTAAGAGCCTCGGTCCACAATGAAGGAAAAAAAACCTAAAGATAGTTACATTTAAATAAAATTAAAACAAGAACACATTCTTATAACCAAAACAAAAAACATGCACAAGCACACAAAAAACCTAAATTTCAACAAAAGATGTTACTGTTTTCCTTCCTGTAATATAGATACAATATAGATGAATTAAGGGGTAAAACTCTTTTGCGTTTACCTTTTGTTCACATGGTAAACATTTAAGCAAAGATAACCCTGAAAGTAAAAAGGAAAGAAATCCTCTTATGATTGTCATCAATCTTTCTCTGGCACTTTATCAGTAATTCTGTTCCCCAACCGAAAGAATTAATTATCTCTAAATGGAAAGGACTATTCAGTTTCCAGGTCTAACAACAACATTCCAAACAAGAACAAGGGGTAATAAGATGAGAGAGAGAGAGAGAGAGAGAGAGAGAGAGAGAGAGAGAGAGAGAGAGAGAGACAGACATTGATATTGAGAGAAATAGAGCTCTCTGAATGCAGAAGTTAAATGATCTAAGATACATTTCAGACAAGAATGATAAAAATTATCTCCAAGGCTCACACTGGGGCACAAACGGAAATAAACAGCACAGAATAGATTTCTGAGGTTCGCAAGGGACTGAGATACTGAGAACCCCAGTCACTTCTGAGGTTCGCAAGTGACTGGGAGAAAGGGGAAAGCATAGTTTGCCACCCCAAAACATGCCTTTTAGAATACTGATTATTTGAAGCTGATTATTTATTTTTTTAAGAAACAGAAGACTGAAGAAAAACCTTTAACCTTCCCCCTAACTGCCTAAAAATAATTTAGAGGACCTAAACGAAGGGAGATGTCATCACAGATAACTGCAGTTTAACATCAGTAGTGTGTAATAGGGAGGAACCTAGCCAGGCCCTTTTGATCAAAGTCCTCTGTGTCCTGTTAAGGATGGTCCAGCAAACATTTACTTATCAAATATTTGCTTTTCTATCTCCATGTGAATTACCTTCCTGCCCTTTGAAGTCCTAAACCACAACCCCACGCCCCATTTCCCATCCCCCAAGGTGGCTTACCAGCCTTAACTGCTTGATCTGTCCTCAGGTCTCATATTCATATGGAACCCCTGTAGGTGCATATGTAATAAATTTGGTCATTTTCTCCTGTTAATTTGTCCATGTTAATTAATTAGTCCAGCTAGAAGAACTTAAAAGGGTTTTGGCGAGCCAGCCAGGAAACTTTACTGGCTGGACACTGTTTGCTTTGGGAATTTGATCAGAAGAGCTTAGAGGGGTAGAAGAAAAATAATTTTTTTCCTCCCTCACAGTACTATGTTTCCAGGTGCCATGCTGCACAGTCTATTCATTGGAGTGGATGCCTCTTTTATAACTGCTGCTAGCAGCACAAGGGACAGACTGACAAATTTAGAAAACACAGAAGTAAGTTCTTTAAGTGTGACAGCTAATTGTCAGAGTATAGAAAAATGCCCAGATTTACCTACGTATCCCAAAAGCAAGCATACTGACCATAGGATGAATAGAGCTATTTAAATAAAAAAGGAACGAACACATTCTGAAAAGCTCATTGATGACACAGTTGGTCTGAGTGTCCTGCAGGTACCAAACCTGCACAGGACTGCAGGACCAGGTACAGAAAGTGAACTCAGAAGGTAACCAAGCACCAGACTATTGCCTAAGTTAAGAGGCTGTCAGCATGTTGATTAAATGCATCAACCACTTAAAAGTTCAGATCACTAGGATGCCTAGTAATCAATCTTTGGCGAAGTATCTGAGAACTAATTTACAGCCTCTTTCCCTGATCCTGGATTTATTCTAAACTGAGATTCTGAACAATAAATAGACATAGTGTCTACATTGCCTGAAGTTAAAAGCATGCAAAAAACCATACGACACATGTGTGGTAAAAGGACAAACATATGCACAAGGAGAATAAAGACCAAAACCAGGATGGTGGTTCCTCAGAGGCAGAGAAATGGCGCTGCGGTTTGGAGGCTTACCCTGGGTTTTTAACTGCTCCAAAGAATTGGTAAACAAACTGGGTTGATTAAAAGGCAAAACCTTCAGGAGGAGGGGGGGAATCTAAAAGTGATATATTTTATCCTCCTGTCTTTGAATACGAAATCACTACCTGTTAACTGTTAAGTGTGAAGAGGGTGCCACCAACACACCAGCACACTCTGCCAGTTTAACTTAATGGTACCATGTGCCTCACTTTGCAATTACTGCCACATTCCCCAGGGAGAAACTAATGGATTACTAAAAATAAATGGAGATTAAGTGAATCACTTGGGATGTTTGGCTCCCAATGAAAACGGGCTTAAACAGAAAGGAAATGTATTGGCTCAACAGCTTGGACTTCCGGTGGAGAGACAGGCTCCGGGACTGGCTTCTCTGTCCTCCACTCTGTGTGGCTTCTTGCTCAAGCTGCAGACACATCAGACCTCACACTGGCACCAAACATCCAGAAGAGAGGCAGGCTCTCCCTGTACTCTGTTTATCAGAAAATTTCTGCCACAAGTTCCTGGCAAGCCTACCTTGGAGTCTCATAGGCTAGAATGGGATTACCGGCCCATTCCTGAAACCATCTTTCTGGCCAGGTAATGCCCAACAGTAGTTGATGTTTTGTCAGCGATGGTTCGATCATGGACAAAGCAGAGAGAGGGTTGCCCCTAATCCCTGGGCCCACCCTAGAGCTGCAGTCAGTTGCTCAGCTCATGACAGGGGGGATCTGTAGGATACATGACATGGCTCCAGCCCCAATATGCATTCTGCTAATATTTACAGAATAACCTGAGTAAGATTGTCATGACACGAAGTTATATATATGGATGGCTAAAGACTCAAGAAGCAGATGAAGACATGAATTGACCCCTTTGAGAAAAGTCAATTTTAAAAACTTGGCTTCTATATTTCCACTGCTCCAATGAGAAATTTGAAGACAAAGTCAACACATTTAAAGCAGGTATATCATAGGATGAATGGTATAGTACTTACTATAGTCTTGTGCCATGGCTACAGAAATTTAGACAATTAGCATCCACAGAAATAATGTATAACCTGAAAAAAGAGAAATAAAAAGTTAAAAATGGTATAAAAATAAAAAATAAAGTACAAAAGAAATTTCACCAAGATAAAACAGTTGCATAAAAAACTTTTTATCTTTTTTTCTGAAAGCAAACCAGCCTTTTTAAAGTATGCAGCTGTACTTAAATTAAGAGAAAATGTCTGTAATATTAGGGTATCTCTAAGTATTTTCAAGATCAAATCATCTGTAGACCACCAAAACAAACACACAAAATACATTTTAATCAAGTAATACTGCCCTGCAATGCTATTTATAAAATTGAAACAAAAGCAGAATTACTAAATTGACCAAAAGAATCATACAGTCTAGTCCTACAACACATATCCACTCTATTCCATTTGATGCAACCTAAAATTAAGTTAATCAGCTTCAAATTCTAAATTTCTAAACTCAGGGATCTTAAGAAATAATAGTCCTCAAAATAATACACATTTCTGGTTCAAATATTTCACACTGCATCCTAATAAAATCTTTGAATATTCAGCATGGATATGGAATGCTAAAGAAACATACCCACAGAATTGAGGACTCTAAGACCCTAGAATGGCTTTTAATATTCATAAGTGAAAGACAAAAGACCCCAGGACAAATAACAATATAGCAAATCACACTCTTAATTAAGCAGGACTTATTAGAAATCTATTGATGCTGTGGTACTTCCTGGGGATAGTGTGCCTTGACAAGGCTGAGGACAGCTACTGTCCCTGTATCTACAAATAATACCCCGTCTAGTTTCACTTGCCTCCGTGTTTGCAGGAGACAAAAAACTTCCTCTGCCCTCTCATGTTCAGTTCCTGGGCACATGCAAAGTAAACTGATAAAAAGAAATTAATAGGAGGAAAGGCATATATTTCTTTATTGATGCTAATATTTTTATATGCAGGAGGATATCACAGAAAAGAAGTAAAATGCCAAAGAGGCAGTTATGGAACTTACATACCATTTTAACAAAGGGCGATGCATTTTAGAGAAGTGACTAAACAAAGGAAAAGGTTTGGATTCTTAAGGATGATAAATTGTAGAAATATGACTAAGAAAAAAAATGTATGGCAGATAAGAATTGGTTAGTAAGATCTGTTATGAAGACTAATTTCTGGTGATAAAAATCTTTTTCCTCTTTCTGGCTGGAAGATGGGTGCACCTTTAAAAATGGAAACTTATGCCCTGCTTTTAGGCAGATGGGGGAAGACAGGTCTTCCTGTGTCTGCTATTGCTCAATTTCCTTCAGTTCAAAATATGCCACCATTGGCATATTGTGGGGTACATATCCTGATCCCCTACAGGTTCAGAAAGATAGAATAAAAAACACCTTAAAAAATAAGGGTGCAAGTCTCATCATGAAAGAAGATGTCTTCAAAGGACTCATATAGAATACACACAGAATTCACATAAAACAATAAGAAAAAGACAGAGCACCCAAACAAGATATCCAAGTGACAATAAGCATAGGAAGAGGTGCTCAATCTCAATCATTTACCAAGAAAATACACATTAAAACCACAGTGACATAAAATTACATACTGACTAAAAATGACTAAATGACTAAAAATGAAGATCTGAGGACACAAGTCTTAGGACCTGGAGCAATTCAGCTCTCATGCACTGCTGGTGGGAGTGAGGACTAGACAACTGTTCCTCAATATCTAATAAGGCGGAGCACAGATTTACACTGTGGCCCAGCAATTCCACTGCTAGGGAAATGCCTACCAGGAATGCACATACAGACACATCGTCCCAGACACACATACAATAATATTCAAAGACAAAACTCAGTAACAAATAAACTGTGGCGTATTCATACAACTGAATACTATACAGCAGGGGTCAGTCAGCGTTTTCTGAAAAGGGCCAGATAGCAAGTATTTTTTGGCTTTGCAGGCCATAAGGTCTCTATGCCCTGTTGCAACTGCTGGACTTTGCCTTTGGAATGGGAAAACAGCCCCAGACACACGGAAATGAATGGGTGGGTCTGTGTTCCAATCAAGCCTTATTTAAAAAATCAGGCAGCCAGCACAGGCTGCAGTCTGAGTGCTATACAGTAATGAACATGAATGAACTATAAAGAATGCAACAACACAAATGAATCTCACAAACATAATGCTGAAACAAAAAAGCCAGATATCTGAGAAAATACAAAACTGTATGATGCCATCTTAGTAAAGTTCAAAGTAGGTAAAACTACTTTTTACAAAAATTCCAGAGACAACAAGTTCATGAGGTAACAGTTACCTCTGAGTGTGGGGGGATGGTAGAGACCAGGAGGAGGTGGAAGGGGGAATTTTGGTGGACTAGTGATATTGGATTCTCTGATTTGAGTGGTGGTTTCATGACTATGCTCAATATGAGAAAATTCATCAAAGCGTTCACTTATGATTCACTTATCTTTATGCTTGAATAAAAAGTAAGACATTTTAATTTTTTTAAACAAAGAACATGGGCCAATTCTATAAGTGGCTGCTTTCTCATAGCTCATTCTCCCTGGACATCAAACACTGATGCACCAGCAAGCTCTGTGTCCTCACAAAGCAGAGCCATGAAGCCTCCCTTTGCTGAAGGTGATGTCTGCAGTGTAGCTCAACCTCTGCTCTGAGTCCCAGGTGGGGCTTTGGAGAAGAGTGGTGATCAGATGGAACACACAGGAGTGTCAGGAGCAGAATGCAACCCTGAGGGAGCGGGGAAAGTAACAGATGGTGGACGAAGAGACTGGTGGAAATAAGCCCCTACATTTTAACATACTCAGCTGAATATCCCATAAAGAAACGAGGGTAACAAAAACAGCTTAGAAACACAATTTGGAAGGTCAATGGGCTTGCCTTTTGGACAAAAATTATGACATTTTAAAAGCTGACTTCGTTCTTCAAAGGCTGATGAAGGGATTTCTTTTCAGTATCACAATTGCTTCCAATCTAACAGATAAGTGGGTAGGAAGTTTTAACTTTTCAAATGAGGAAGCAACCCTGGCAGATGACATTAGTCTTGACTTTCTAGGCCTGCATATTTTAAACCATGTCTCTACCTTGGTGTTATCTTGTCCCTCTATACCAGTGGTGGGGAACATCCAACCTAAGGACCGTATAAGGAAGGGGTGGGCAAACTTTTTGACTCGAGGGCCACAATGGGTTCTTAAACTGGACTGGAGCGCTGGAACAAAAGCATGGATGGAGTGTTTGTGTGAACTAATATAAATTCAAAGTAAACATCATTACATAAAAGGGTACGGTCTTTTTTTTTTTTAGTTTTATTCATTTCAAACGGGCCGGATCCGGCCTGCAGGCCGTAGTTTGCCCACGGCTGGTATAAGGCCTGTGAAATCATTTGGTCTGGCCCTGCCAGGGCATTAGGGGTGAGTTAATTAAATGTCTGACCAAATATAGCAGGCCAATTTTAAAGCTGATAATTTTGTATGGCCCGTGAATCATGTTCTAAATACCCAAATGGTCCTTGGCAGAAAAAAGGTTCCCCACCCCTGCTATACTGTGTCTAAAATTTAATTGGAACTTTCCAGGGATAATAGGAAGCCACTTAATTACGAGGGTTGGGCACAAACATATTAGGAGAGGCAGAAAATATGAAAATTCCAGAAACAACAAGATCATGGGCATCACATTATATGGATTCACATTCTGTAACTATGAGCTTATATCATGAGTGAAATAAAGAGCAAAAGAGGAAAGAAAAAGTCTGTTATTAGTCAGTCAGCAACCACCACAGGTGTGATTGCTTCTCTTAGGTTCACACCAATTGTGTTGTGGATTCATTTTAAAAATATATTTGTTTTAGCCCTGGCCAGTGTCCTCATTGGTTAGAGCATTGGTCCACGCACAGATGGGTTGCAGGTTTGATTCCTGGTCAAGGGCATGTACCTGGGTTGCAGGGTTCACTCCCCATCCCAGGTCAGGGCACATGTGGGAGGCAATCAGTTGATGTGTCTCTCACATTGACATTTCTGTTTCTCTCTCTTCCCTCTCTTTTTCTCCACCCCCCTCACCCATCCCTCTCTTCTCCCCTCCTTTCCACTCTCTCGGAAGAAGCAATGGAAAAAACATCATTTGGTGAGGAGTGACAAAATATATGTTTTTTTATATTTATTTATATATATAACTTTCTACCAAAAAATTAAACAACTTTTCAAATCAGTAAAACTGGATTAAAAACAAAACACTGCTCACAGTTGTATGGCCCTCTGATAATGATCAGCTGTGGTGTCACCATTGCTAACTGACCCAGCCAAAGTCAGGATGAAGAGCACTCAGGAGTCTACCAATCACCCTCAAAGCAAAACGTTCTTTACATCATATAGTAAGACTAGCAAATTTTAACAACTGGGAAAAGTATAAGCTACGTATTTACATTGGCAGCAAAGGTACAATCTATTTTTCTTTATTTTAAATGTTATAAAATAGTGTTCAGAATTTAGATCGTGGTCCATATTTTATATGGTGGGAGTATGTACGAAATCTTTACAACAGATGGGAAATTACATAGACATCAAGTGACAGTTCTAGCTGATTCAGCTCTAATTCATTTTGTTTGCTTTCTAACAGCACTAGTTTAAAAAGAGCAGTTCTGTGGTCCATAGAACAGAGTTCTACTTTAAGCAGAGGTGACAATCTTTACTTACATAAGAAGCAGTTATACAGGTTAACAGAAGAAATGAACTGCAATGGAATATACTAGGGATATGTCAGGGGAACCATTAGTTTTCATTCTTGATGGTATGTAATAAGTGCATCAACCTAACAGTCATTGAATTTATTAAGCCATAGTTTCACTACACAAATTCTCCATTCCTTTTTTTCTCAGAGCACACTTGAATAATCAGAAGGCAGTGTTTGCTTTCCTATACAGTAACAACTGTGCACTTGGCCTGAATTCTAAATAACCAGGTTCTTTACAAAATTTTTGAAATCTAGCCAATATACAAATCTTTTCACTGAAAATAAGCATGAAGGAAACAGGCTCAAATCATAAC